GAGAGAAAACGCAGCGCCCATAGTGATCTATGATACACTGTTGCGACGCATCCATAAACAATAGCACAGTCGTCGTGCATAAAAACAAACAAAATGTTCACACTGTTTCCGCGGTACAAAGGGACCAAACGATCGATCGGTGGAGCCACGCAAATGGATGACAGCCTATACTCTGATCAGTTAGACAGCCCGCTCAGCATCTGATCCGTTGCCTTCACGGTTCGTTAAGTGACCCAGTCTGTTCACCCCGGGTGGATATTTGCATCACAAAAAATGTGAGTAGTTCACAAACTCAATGTCATTATACAGACAATTACCTGGACAGTTGTCCTTCCTTGACTCTCTCTAAATTGCCTTCACAAGATGTCACAACATTCCCATGCCTCCCATCAGTGTGGTTTTTCGTTCAATAAGGTATTAGTAGTCAAACACTTCAATGATGCGTGTCCAAAGGAAATTACGCTCTTAGCTGCTCTATGACCAAAAGTATTCGTGAGAGTCATGACCTGCTTTTGAGATGTGAAGTATGCTTTCGTTATTTGCTTTGGTGCATTTGTCCAAGTTTTTGTAACGCATTCGAAAATCCGTAGTATTCTAGTGAAAAGATAAAATCCTCGCTGGGCGTATTAATTCGTATCCATTCATCATACCAAGATCGATTAACAGAAGTGGTCTCCAATTACAGGCATCTCCTATCAACTGCATCATCGTATGGCAAACCATTCCGAATGTAGATGCACGTGACGCCCAGTAGTGGGACACCTGCGTTCTAACTTTGGCCTCTCGGAGAAGGTAACCCATCGGTGTAAGTGAGCAGATTGAGTTACAAGTGGCAGCCAGCACTACTCAATTCGGTTACTTTTAAAGGGGCGCATCCGAGATGCAACACGAACCATGCCTATGAAAAGAAACCGAACTGACAGAGCTTTGTCCGATGAGCGTAAGCCAATCCTCTTTGGTACTGAAGCACTTTGGTCCCACGAACAGTCTAGGTTGCTTTCTATGCGTATTTCCCAGCAATAGAAAGAAAGGACAACTGCAGTACCTCGGTACGCAATACCGACGCTTCGTTGCCGCACAGCCACTACCGGTCGCACGTAGGCTAAGGATACTGCGAGAGCCATTCGGTCCCTACGCAGGTTCGAATCCGCGCCTTCAGATTGCAAGGCAGGTTTGTGATCCTTAAGATATGCCCCAGCAGTAGCATGGAACAGCTCAACTCGGAGTTAAACGGCCAACATAGTCGATTACTGAGATCACGGGAGATAATTCCGGTACCATTATTCCACGCACCAAACTCCGGTGGCTGCGTCAGGTGTTATGCATGTTCGCGAGGTGTATTGTCTGCGGCGACCCGGTATGGATGAAAGGAGGAGAGGCCAGCCGATGATTTGGTGAGGAATGAAGGCTCTAACTTGGAACTTGACCTCGGTTGGTGTCCCAGCTGTTGGTTTGGGGTCCAACAGGTTCGGTTGGATACACTTGTTGACATAGTGAAGAACAGTTTGTGTAATGAGTTTCCTTGTCCCTCCCCCTCCCACGACGAGCTCGTTGCCATGAACAATATAAGGCAAAAAAATTCGTGTTGCTTTTGTTTCTGTTCCTCCTCCACATTTTTTTACTATTATCTAATTGAATTGTACTGAGACAGAATACTTGAGGTATTTCTCATCCTGTTGAGAAGGCGACACGACATGTTACTTATTAGAGGACTAACATCTAGATACTATAACAGTTCAAACATGGAAACTCAGGCCCAATTTGAGCATGTTTCCAATTCGCGGTTCTGCAGCGCTTCATAACTCACAACGTATCCTTCGTCCGGCTGAGTAGCGTACCGTGCGTCCTGTGTCCGCAGCGATCCATGATTCCCTTGCGCATCCTCGTTTCTACACACACTACTCACTAATAGTGCGCTACAATCCCTGGCTAATATGTAGGACGAGAATGTTTCCGTACATTACCAAAATTAGGTGATGATTATTGAGGAGGTCGTTGATCTCCCATGTGAGAAGTGCACTGGGCCAGAACTATATTTGAGTCAACCCGTCGGCTGTTAAGTGTCAACAGAAACATGAAACTTCAGGGGTATTTTCAGTAGTGAGGGGTAACCATATCATGGCGTCCATGACTTAAGTCTGCGCGCCTAAGGCACGTTGATGGTTGGTGGCAGTACCTGACGAATATTATGGGTCTGAGGAGCAGTATAATAGCATTGAATGTGGTCCGTATAGCGATCAAAATGAAATGGAGGATGACGCAGTTTAGAGTAATAAGGGGACTAATAGGGAAAAACGGTGGAATTCACTCAAAAAGTATTAACGAGTGTTTGGTTAGCAAATACGGATAAGACAGCCTCATTTGTCTCCACTTCATAAAGCAGCCGATGGACAACCCACCATTTTAGGTAAATTTTGAAGTTATACAGCCCATGGGCGTTAAGTGCCATGTACTGTGAGCTAGCAAGACAGAGGATGAATTGAATACGCGCGTCAAACTGGAAGCTGGAATCAGCCAGAGGCTTTCGCTCTACTGGACACAGGCTTTACAACGTCTAGGGAATTTAGGCCGTGTGTATTCAGTAGGTAACATTTGTGTTTACATGTAGCGGTTTGGTATAGCTGCAAGTAAGGATCATTATAGTAGCAACATTTACCAACTGATATATTGAGAGCACATTGTAGCATCCTGAGGATACCCAAGTGACAAATGCATTGTAGGCGGTTGAAACGAATGCTGGATGAATTTAGAGGTCAGCAACAGTCCGCAATGGCATATATACACTAACACGTAGCCACGTATTACCGTGACAGATATGAGAAGTTGCAGGAAACAGTTATTCCTACCGAAGTAATCATCGGACAACAACGGTAGAAACGCAGATATCCAATTCAGAAGGACGAATCTGAGAAAAAATAGTTCAGCGGGAAGCTTATGATGAGCACCCAAAAGAATATGTCATCCAAAACACCAAAGTGGGAGAGAGGAACAGTCGTGCAAAATCCTATAGTAGCTGAAAACTACAAAGCAATCGATAACAGTTAAAACGTACTTCCCTAAGGTCATCTTAGTTACTTACTTTAATGCGACTAGCTCCTTCGACAGGATGAGCCGGCTTCATGAATGTTGCGAATCGCGGCTGCCCAAGCGTTGCGGTCGGCAGCAAGCTCCAAGCAGAAACTGATAAACTGATTCCTCCAGTGACGAGTACCATGCACTACATGGGGTTCTAAAAGATCGACATCCGATTTTACTTCAATGATCCACGTTTTACATTGTCCAAGACGACGATGACAACAATCCTAGCAAGGCGAGGGTGAAACCATGGTCCCAGTGAAGTCAGTGTCTGGTCTGTGGAGGAAGTGACCGAACCACTGAAGTCTGCGGCGCTGGATGAGCGTTGTGAGCTTCGGAAGACCGTAACAACGCCTACGGATTTCGTCACCGGTGATACGCTCATGCCACTGCGTTTTCAAGATGAGCCTTAGACACCAAAGGTTGAAGACTTCCAGCTTCCGGGTATCTTAGGATCGCAGCGGCCATGCTTCGCAACCATTGAGTAAAATGGCACGAATGGTTGCTGAGAATACTCGGATATTCGTTCTCAGGCTAATTTCCATCCGACACAATGTGTTTCTTAGTTGTAAAAAGGATGTTCTAGAGCTATCAATACGACCGCATTTAGCCTGATCATTAGGGAGTATAGTGGATCCAGATACTTGAACTCAGGAACAGATTCAATGAGTTGTCCATATAAGGATAGCGACGGGGCGGACTGGGTGGCTAACGATGAGAAGCACTACGTTTTGATGATGTTAATTTCGAGGCCGATCATAGAGGCTGATTGGTCGATCCGATTTAGCAGTGACTGTAGTGATATACCATCTTCCGCTAGGATAACGATATAGTCACCAAAGTCTAGATCTGACAGGCAGAAGTCAGGGCTAACTTGAACACGACGATAGCCCTCAAAGGCATGATGCATAACCTAGTCGTCTGCGAAGTTAAACAGCACTGGAGAAAGTGGGCAACCCTATAGCGTTCCAGTATTGATGTTGAATTCTTCTGTTTCCTCTCCACAGACCGGAATCCAGGATGGCGTGCAACAGTTAACAAGTTTAACCGGCACGCCATCAGCAAGTAGGATTCCGCAGAGTGCTTCGTGGTCAACTGAGTCAAACGCAGCTCGAAACTGAGATCATCGAGTGCCCACTGAAGCAGCCACTGAAAAACAACCCTTCCAAGTCGTAAAGTAATTCTGAGCGAAGTCTGTCTTTAGACGTCACTCGTTCGATTCTCGTCTTAATTGTTGAAGTTGTCTTAGGAGCCAAGTATAGGAAAATGTGTTCCGGACCAGTAAGCTAGTGTGACTAGGCTGGAATCTGGTCAACTGCGATAATGCAACAGCGACACAGCAGTATCAGATCACGATGTTCGTCATCAGGATAAAATAACCAAAGGGGTCATAAAAATCGAGTAAAACTGATCGGTGCGGTTTATAATCAACTAAGTGCGCATAAAACCGAATGCAGGAGCACCACAGACCCCGAGACCGCGCATGTTGGTGAAGGTCTCCAACCAATCCGAAGTCCCCATTCACTACGACGTCACGTACCAACATGACCAATTCGCTCAGCCAATTCCTCATTAGCTTAATACCACTTCACGGTCTTTTCAAGCAAGGTTAAGCGATATCATTTGATACCTACCGAGGAGGATATGACCGAGCGAAAGTAAGTAATTAAGCTCTGACATACGCTCCAGTGAGGTATGTTTACCAGACACCAGCCTGGCGCTCCCCTCAATTACTAGCAAATACCCCACAAGCACCGCGATCAAAGTCAGTCCTCAATGCGAAGCGATCAATTCTCAGGTCTAGCACATGCGACAGCTTGTATTGACCAAATGGTATGCGCTGCTCGTAATGCGAGAAACTCGGTGTGACTGCTCACAAAGCCATGAAAATTGTGTATCGTAAAAGTTGCGCGATAAAAGCTCACCTTTAAGCACTCCCAAGTGGGAAATTGGATAAAAGAAAAAGGGACTTCACGGAGGACAGTGCTGAGATATCCACGATAAAGTCCACGAACACCCTGAAATGAGAGCATATTACAAACACTGACAATTTTTCTAAAGTCCCCAGCTTGAAATGCATCTACTGAAACAACAAACGAAGCCAAATATGACCACAATTGAATCGATGGATTTTCAACTAATTACAATAACCTGCCCGTCTATTGCTGACAGCCATAATGAAGCTACAAACGGTGTCATAAAAAGAGAATGCATCGCATAGATGCACAAGCAGTGGATTGCCCAAAATGAATAGACGGCCCTGAACATCAAGCACCAATGTGACAGGAAGCGCATGTGTGGTGCAATAATCCTGGTATACAACCAAGCACATGTGCAAACCGACAAGAAAGCGGTCCAAAGAGAGTAGAAAAAAACAGTTTAGAGCCCGTGAATTCGGGAAACAGATCAACAGTTGAAACTTCAAAGAGCAAATACAAAAGCTGTATGCAGTGCTTAGCTGGTCATGCCAGTGAGTTCAGAGTCTCTGGGCAAATAAATCAACGAACTACTAAGCTCAGTCTCTGTCCTTCGAAAACGCTTCCTCGGCTGCAGCGATCACGGCTGGCCTCAACAAACTAAGATCCACCAACATACCACAAAGTAGTTACTTTATTCCACCAAATGTTTGGTAACTGTTATGGGAACGGTAAATGATGTCTTGAAAATACACACCCGCGGCAGAGACTCAAACACACGCAGGGGTAATCAAAGGACTGCGCCACGTAGCACTCGTAGTGTGACCAAGCGACGTCCAAACGACGACGTGGCAGGTTTCTGTAGGCAGCCCCGTCTCGCCAAAACGCATACTCGGCGCAGTGAGTCATAAGATGGTGTCCCGCCCTGTATCGCCTTGCTGAGTCAGTAAAAACGCTCGTGTGAGAGCTCTATCCTTCTTTCTTTCCCTGGTCCGTGGTGCGATCGTGGTCTTCCGTCTCGCGTATTCGCACATCGAGTATACGGTGACTAGGTTTTGTGGGGGCGCAAAAGGTTCGATTTGCGAAACCGTATAGTCGACACTAACCGAATGTCACTGGGTTCGTCCAACGTAGGGTCCTACAATCGTAACCTCCATTCCAAAGCTGTTAGGAACCGAGCGGGCACTACCCAACTATGTTGGATAGCATCAAGCTCCCATCCAAATTAGCCACACAATATTCAGGCCGCTATGCCGATATCATCATGGTGCTTGTTCGCGTTTTGATAACTGCCAGTATCGTTGCTTGGGGATTCTTTAGAACCTGCTCACATAAGTCCAGCAACATGTTTGTTTAGTTTCATCACATCCCCATTAGGCTTATTGGCAGAGGGAGCTACCAAAGACAATAGACATGCTCTGTGAAAGCAGCATTAAGGGCATGTGCATAGAGAGCGCTGCTAGACATGATTCCGGATATGACTTCATGCTGAGCCATTCCACTAGAAAGTTTAGGGTCACCATCTAGAGACGGCTCAGCAGATATCGTTTGTAGTAGCGATGTAAATTCTCGTGAATTGCAGTGCAGGTTTAATAAAATAGGAGTTTCAATGGCAACTCAGATATTCGTAGAGGCCTGATGGAGACCAAAACGCGTAAGCAAGCAGATGGGAAGTTGAGGGACGTGAACGCGATGACCAACACAGTCTTGGTGCGCGTACGATAAACAAGCTTGGTTGCCTCCTATAGCTCTGTGCTTGTCACGACTTATTTTCTCTAAGTGAGGAATTTCAGTACTCTTGAAACCAAGTAATTGCTTGGCTACCTGTGTCACCTGATTAATCGTGGACGCAGATTAGCCACGTTGCCTCCGGTAACGGTCGGTGCCAATATTTGCTAGAGACTCAGTGTTTCGATGCCACCTAAGTATCGCCGTCAGAAACGGCTTTGTGTAGCCAAGCTTATTTCCCGGCATCATGCGCTAGAGTAAAATCTGAGGATCCTTCCGTTCTCGTGGGTTGGGGAGCAATGTGCACATGGTAGGTCACCTTACGTAAGCCCGTTACTATGGTCTGTGGTTTCAATAGACAAGAAGTCAAACGCAGGATGTCTGTCGTATCTCTTCAACTACTTGAAGCACATCGCTGGAGCCGAGTGCAATCGATGGTGTATGTCAAACAACACTGAGCACTGACACCTCAGAAAGGAGAGAAGCATAGTGGACACAGCGCGCCACGGAGATGAAATAATCAGTTAGCTGAGAAATTTTACGTGACTACCAGTTACCTAACGCAGTCATTAGGCGAAGTAATTTGAACACAGATTCTACCGGTCACCAGCGATCTCGCGTTTCCAAGAGTCCACTACACATGTAAGTGTTTGGAAACATGATGCGCATCTGGGGCATGTTCGATGAGCTTCACCTACCCCCATGTCATAGATGAACACACCCTAGCAAATTGGAGAAAAGTGGCCACTGATTCGTGAGTTGGGCTACAGAAGTCACCCAGTTAAATTGGAATGTGGCGGGTACTGTGGTCTTTTTAAAGAAATTAATCGAACAGAATGAATCAACTATCTAAGGATCAGATGCATATGTATCGCGGTAAAAGCGTACTTATGAATGTTTACTGGGGCAAGCGATCAAAGCCCATGTAAAGGGCTCGCTAGGTTTCTCTCAAGTTGCAGATGTATTGATCCTAATTTCACGATACATCAAATGTGTACATGGTGGCAAACGTCTTTTCAACGAGTCATCGTTGTTTTCGACACATGGGCATCGTAGGCCTCGGTTGACACCAATGCTCACTACAGTAATCTACTGAAAAAGTGAAAATCCTAAAAACAATGGTAAAATCCTGCAAGTAATCCGTTCGCATGACCCCATCCATGTTGGTGTATAAGGTTACTAGTGAACATAGTATCACCAGTGACTTGAGACAGAATTGGCCAACTTCACTTACCATAGTTAACATCGTTAAGGATGACACTCTGAAGAGGGTTCTCGGGAACTTATAGCCAAGTGGCATCGACCTTACAAGTAACCGCCCTCATAGTTTGGAGTACCTCAATGACGACGCCATAATCAGTGATTTCTTGCAGACCGCCTAAAATGTGCAGCGCACCTTGAAGAAGAATAGAAGCCCTAAGCAAGACAGTCTAGAAATAAATACTACAGGAAATAGTTGACAATTTCTTTTACACTAAGAGATTGCTAGAGTTGGCTTTTCACGTATGATAGCTATTTGCGTGATTCAGAAGCCAGTGCTGGTGAAACTTCTTTTGGGACGCAAACACTATAATGCCACCTCAGTACCATGGCTTGGCTCATTCTTCAAATTATGCTCTGATTGTTTATTTTTGCTAACTGCAGTTATCGCGAACAGAATGGACCTTAACGCGTTGTGATGGTTTGCGTGCCTCAGCGATCCACTGAGCTACGCTGGGTGGTGTATCTGAATCTTCAGAGCCACTTAGGCCAGACTGGTCTGTGGTGTGGGCACGGTAATGGCAGCTGTTGGTATTCACCTACGCATTCGGGACGAACAGGTATGAGGCCGCGCAATCGATTGTCCGCCGCTAGTTTAGCATCAACGTCGGCAAGCGTGAGCGAGAGTTTCATGGTAAGCCCGCATGATCAACTTCCTCGATCGATGAATATGGTGGGTTTCTGCCAGACGCAGCTAATAAACGTAGGGCAAATCGGAGTCCAGGAGCGGAGCGTTGATTACCCAATAAATAATAAGTTGTCTTCTGATCCAAATAGATTCTGATCGCGGTCCAGTCATTGTTTTGTTCATTCTCGGAGGGAGTTACTCTACATGGCGACAGATGAAAAGAAGGAACTGATGAACAAAAAGCAGCTGTGTTTTGGCTGGCAGCCGTCTATCGCGATGCAGACTCCCATTGCAGATGACGGAGGGTTCGCTTCCCGAAATCTGGCACCTGTGAAAAGCTAAGTGGATGGATTTCGCCACACTGACGCAGCTGTACAATCATCAGGTTGATTACCAGTTGGCGATGTTCCGACATGCTGTTGGCGATGAAGTAAGCCGTGTGTGTATCAAGTATCAGAAGCTTAGCTTAAGCGATGTGTTCCACAGTTTTGGTGTACTCTGTGAAGACAGAACTAATGAAACTGATCAATGCTACTTGTTTATTGGTCGAAACCGACTCCCAGGTGAATCAGTCAACAAATACGTAACTGAGTTAAAACTGATAGCAAGAACATGTAATTTTTACGAGTGCATATGCGATTCGCTGGTGAGAGAACGAATTGTACTGAGTGCTCAAGATGAGAATATTATGCGAAAATTATTGCAACAGAGAAACCTAACGCCATACCAACGTACCGACATTTGTAACAGTGAAACGGTAAGAGCGTTCCAATTTTGCAAAATAAAGCCTCATGCAATCACTGAACTATGTGCGATTTCCCAGCCCAAATATGCGATGTTGCAGAATGCTCCGACAGGTAAACGAATCGGCTAGTACTGTGGTCGCAGTCATGACCCTCGAAAGGAAAGACCTGCATAAAAGACCTTTAGCCGTCACATAGAATAATCAACGCCGCCCTGTCTGTTGCATCGAACAGGATGGATAGAGGCGAGGATGCTGCTGCTCAGGCCTTTCCATCTCCTTATCCCCCACACAGCACTTTTAGCCTTATCTCCCACTTCCAACGTTACTTCTATACCCCATGTTTTCAATCGTCCAATTCTCGGTCCTCGCCCACCTTGCTTCGATAGTCACTTGCCCTCTAGTTTTCACTCACACGCAATCGCAGTGCGTTACTACGGTTCGATCGACAAGTTCATGTTCAACCAAGCGGACGACGTCAGTGCAACTGATTCCATTTGGAACCCTCGATTCCCGATAAGACTGGCATACCTCAACGTGCATATTTTGTCATAGATTGGCCAACAAGCAGCATTTGCCCGAACGTTACTGATCCCATGGTGAGTTTCGTCTGGCAAGCGTTCTCACTATAAAAAGCCACAAATGTCTGTTTAACAACACTGTGACGTGGCAGTTGTGACTCGCCACCAACTAAAGTCACCCCATTGTTTACCCGGACAACTGCTTCAAGTCCCCAGATATCAC